GAGAGAGACACATCGATTGGTTGTCTCCCGCATGGCCCTCGCCAGTGCTGGGAGCATGCAACCGAGATACGTGCCCCTGACCGGAATCGAACCCGGGACCCTTCAGTCCGAGGGCTGATGCTCTATCCACTGAGCCAAACCGGTCAGGACTTCTTGTGTTATTATTTAAAATTATTGTATTTTCCACATGAACATCTATAAACCTACTTTTCTCCACCCTGTATGTGGGTTTAATATCAAATCATTTGCAGTAAAGAGGAAGTCATTGAGCCAGAAAACAGGAAATCCCCCAGGAGGAAGCCTCGAGAAGATGATGGGAACACAGAGGGGTAGGCAGCATGGAGGGGAGAGGGAGTTAGAAGCATGCTTGTTTATAGTCTGTTTATGATCATTTGAGGCTCACGATGGAGGTTTTAGCCAAACCAATAAATCAGAAAAATGGGAAAAAAGATAAAAGAATTTGAATGAAAGAAACAAAACTGTTGTCATTCACTGATGATATGATTGTATATTGTAGAAAGGCCGAAACAATCTACAGATAACTTTAATCAATAATCATGTAGGAAGTTGCTGGATATAAAATCAGCTTATAAAAATATTATCATATACCACCAATAAACACATTGCAGTGAAAAAGTCATGCATATAGTAGCATTATAAACAAAAGTACCTAGGAATAAATCTAATGAAAAATGTGAAACCTCTGTGGAAAACATGGTAAGTTTTTAGAGAAATTAAAGAAGACTTGAGTAAACGGACAGATACACCCCAGTTTTGGATTGGAAAACTCATTGTTGTAAATGTGCCAGTTCTCCCAAAACCAATCTAGAAATACATCATAATTTCAATTACAAACCCCAGGGTGTGTGTGTGGAGACAGGGTCGGAGGTTGGAATTGACAAGCTGACTTTAAAATATGTGAAATGAAGGGGTCCATAAAACGCAAGACATTTTTGAAGAATTCCAATTCATTCTATGGGTAAAAGATCTGGTTGAGACCTGATTTTGAAAGGCTGGAGTGCTGGTGTTCTGGTTTTGGTGGGATGCCCAGCAGTCCTGGTTTGCCCAAGTCAGTCCTAGGTTTTGCCTGTGGCCCTGGTCTCATTAGCAGCACGTCCTTTTGTCACGAGCGCCTTGGGAAGTCTCCTGCTGTTTGTGGGAAGGATGGACCACTCTAGTTTTTGTGTTTCGTTGTTTGAGTTGCACACATTTTTTCAAATATCCAGCTCCACACCAAGGAGCAGCATCTGCTGGCGGCAAGTAAATGGTGGTCAGGACGGAGCACCAGGCAGCACCAAGCCCACACCTGCCTGCGTGGAGGGCTCTTCATGCAGGGGAGTCAGCACGGAGCCGTCTTAGCCTCCTCCCCTCTTGCTGTTTAACATGAGCAGCCACATGGGTGGCTGTTGTACTCCGCCTGTTAAAACTAATGTTAAAAGGGGAGGGAATGAGCCTTGGTTGGTGTGGCTCAGTCTCACCCTGTGCACTGTGCACCCAAAGGTTGCTGTTGCTTCGATTCCCAGTCCGGACACATACCTACATACCTAGGTTGTGGGTTCAGGGAGTATACAGGAGGCAACCTATCCATGTTTTTCTCAGACATCAATGTTTCTCTCAGCCCCCCAGCCCCCTCCCCTCTCTCTAAAATCAGTAAAAAAAAAAAAAAAAATCCTCAGGTGAGGATTAAAACAAAAAGAAAAAAGGGGGGGAATGAACACTAATTGAGCTTATAATATGTGTCAGTGATATTACATCTCTTTTCCCAATTCAGTAAATTCAGGTATTGGTTGAGCACTTATTATCTGCCAGGTGTATTGCTTAACTCTGTAACCTTTTGGAGAAAATGTGATCATTTTATAGGTGAAAAAGCTAAAGCTCAGGGAGGTTAAGAAACTTGCTCGGATTGTATTAAGGTACAGACTGAGCTGCACCAAAAGGTCCCAAGAAGCAGTGGCTTAAACGAGGGGGGACTGCACTTCTCTCTCACGCAGGTTGGTCTGGCAGCTCCTGCCTCAGCCCCGGGCTTTCACTTGAGGAGTCAGAGGGTGCTCTGCTTCTTGCATCTCCCGGGAGGCAGGCGGGCCAGCAGGACTCAGGAGCTCACACCAGGAAGGCCTGTGGCTCCAAGGTCACTTCTACGCCCAGCCCTCTGCCCAGAGCTTAGTCACCTGACTGTAGCTGGCTGCAAAGGGAGGCTGGGAAAACTAGGCTTAAGGAGGTGGCCAAGTGCCCCCCTAAACCTCCGTCACTATTGAAGAAAGGGACAACAAAAGCTGGGCACAACGAGAGTCTTCCACACCTGCCGAGTCACGCAGGTGGGAGCTGTGGGGACCCCGTCCCTTTGCTCCCATCTGCTCGGCTCCTTGCCCTGCTTGCCCACTGGACCCCCCTCCCGTCTCAGCCTTTAAGAACTTGTATCAAGTTTGTTTACTGGTTGATGTGGTGAACCCACAGAGCATGTCAGCTGCATGTCCAACCTGAAGCTGTGACCCAGGTTATAGGGCTGAGAGAGACAGCCCGTCCTAAAGCAGCGCTCAGCCTGTGGTGGAGACATCCAGGTGGAGCCCAGGCCTGTTCGAGAGGCTGATTCTGCCTCTGCACTGGGCTTGGACGGTGTGTTTCCAGGAGGCTGGATCAGCGGTCACCAGCCGGTGGTCTGCAAGGTCCAAAAGGTTGGCAACCGCTGGGCTAGATGGTTCAGGCTTGCTTCGAATGCATGAGCATAGATAGTATAAATTATTGTTTTATAATCATTTTAATTTACCTCTCTGTTAGTGGCTATTTCTTCTATTTTTTAAAATATATTTTTATTGATATCAGAGAAGAAGGGAGAGGGAGAGAGAGAGAAACATCAATGATGAGAGAGAATCATTGATTGGCTGCCTCCTGCACACCCCCTACTAGGGATCAAGCCCGCAACCCGGGCATGTGCCCTTGAGCAGAATCGAACCTGGGACCCTTGAGTCCACAGGCCGACGCTCTATCCACTAAGCCATACCTGCTAGGGCTATTTCTTCTTTTCACTTCTTTTAATTTTTTTGTGTGTGTATGTTTTGTTAATCCTCACCTGAGGATATTTTTTTTTCATTTATTTTTTCAGAGTGGAGGGAGGGGGAGAGACAGAGAGCGAAGTCGATGGGAGAGGCACATTGATTGGTTGCCTCCTGCATGTGCCCCGCCTGGTCGAGCTTGCAACTGAGGTACACATCCTTGACCAGAATCGAACCTGGGACCCTTCAGTCCATGGGCTGACGCCCCAACTACTGAGTCAAACCAGCTAGGGCTTCACTTCTGATTTTGGATTGTTATTCATCTGTTTCAATTAGGCCATTTTTGGGGTCTCTCCCCCAGTTTAGACCTGGTCTCATTTGTTAATCAGTCGATTGTACAGATATTCACTGCTCTCCCGGGACTTGCGTCATCATTTTTTCCAAGCCACATAGAGTCCCAGTCTGCTGGTAAAGGGTGACCATTGCTCTTTGGGAGAGTGAGAAAGCCTCCTGGTTGTAGGGTTTGTCCATCCAGTGCAAACACTTCCTTCATGTTGGATGCAAGCTCCGTGTGATGCCGCTGGAGGTGGGCTCGGGGGAGCATACACACAGCTCTGCGAGCCGTGCCCGCCGCCCAGCACCACGGAGCCCGTTCTGTGCAGCAGGTGACCTGTCTCTCTCCTCTCCTTGGCAGTCAGGGTCTGTGAGGGCACCAGGTGTGGCCACTCTTCCAGGCTCTTTAGGGGGGTAACTCAGTCCTCACAGCAGTTCCACGAGTCAGGGATGCTCACTGTCCCCAGTACAAGGGGTCACATAACTGGCTTCAGGTCACACAGCCGACCCAGGACTTTGATTGTATATCTTTTAGATTCTAATTTCTCTTAGCAACAGTCTGTACCTCCGTGTTCCTTTGTGAAGGGCTCGTTTGGAACTATATGATCACATGGCAGCATTTCTCTTTGGGACCCACCTTCAGTCTGAAGATCATGCTGACCAGAAAGAGTAAATAGAGACGTGGAACTTCAAGTTCCTTTCGGTGGCTGTTGAATAAGCGTCTGGAAGATGTTGGTGATACTTTGCTAGGCGCTCCAGAGAGCCTGGCGGGCGGAGGCGTTGTCAGGGTGTGGCAGGAGTCTGACGTCTCACGTGTTGGTGCGGGGCCTGCAGTCTCATGACGACCTGAGGGGTGGGGATGCCGTGGATGTGTCACCTGGGAAGGAGAGCGAGAGCTCCCTGCGGGTGGGGCAGTGTGCGGTGCTGGGAGGGTGCTGGACGTGAGGAGCGTTTGGAGAAGGAGTGCAGTATTTTCTGGGAGTGTTCCTTTGACATTGAAATTAGCTGCAGTGCCATTGGGATAAACTTTTAAAGGAAGCCACAGATGCGATCAGTATTTCTTAAGATGCATAGATAACGGATGGAAACGGAAATGTCCTTATACAGGGATTTTTGACTTGATGGCATAGCAGAATGTGCTGATGTGAGCTCATGAGCTATGGTTTAAGTTAATGGTTGTAAGAGTAACCTACTTTTATTTCATGTGTCATGTGGTGGTGGTAAAATAGTAGTCCTCAAATGCTGGTCTGTAATATGGGAAATGAACAAAATAAATGTAATGAGGTGAGTTTTCCTTAAAACTATATTTTTTCAAAGTGAGACATTATCCTTAATCCTGAAATGATGGCTTTCCTTTTTTTGATATTTAAAAGTCATTATTTTCTGAAATGAAGGTAATTGTAGAGGATAGTTTATTTTTTTCCTTTCTTTTCCTTTTCTCTTTTGTGTCTCTTTTTTTCTCTCTCTTTCTCTGCAGCCAGTCCTCAAACCCGGCACTGCTATGTCAGCCACACTCATGTGACATACTAAATCAGCGGTTCTCAACCTGTGGGTCGAGACCCTTTTGGCGGTCGAACGATCCTTTCACAGGGGTCGCCTAAGACCATCTTGCATATCAGATATTTACATTATGATTCATAACGGTAGCAACATTACAGTTATGAAGTAGCAACGAAAATAATTTTATGGTTGGGTCACAACATGAGGAACTGTATTTAAAGGGCCAGAAGGTTGAAAACCACTGCTCTAAATCCTCTGTTGCCATCTCACCGTCCTCACAGCCTCGTCACAGGGTGGGCTCCGTCTCCCGAAACCCCTCTCTCTGCTCCTCTGCAAGCTCCTCCTCATCACTCAAGCTCTGTCCTGAGTTTGCAGCGATTCAGCGCGTCCTCAGGCTCCACGTCATGCTCCTGCTGCTGCTCCCACCACACGTGCAGGCACTTCCTCTCGGAGGTCTGGAGCCCTCAGATCGGCCACGAGGGTGGATCAGCTTCTCCCAGACGCCTGTGACTGCCTCCCAGGAGTCCCTCAGGGCCTCAGTGGCAGCTGGGACGGGGAGAACTTTTCCATTTATTCTCCCCGATCCATCAGGAACCACGACGGCAGCGATTGCTTACAAACGTGGTTTTTCTTCCCAGTGAGACTTGGGAGTCAGAGTTAGTCCTTGACCCAAGAGCTGCAGAAAGGCATGAAAACAGAATTCATCTGGCCCGTCTCCCCCAGCGCCCCTGGTGACCAGGCGCCTTGTCACGAGCAGGAAGGTTAGGGAAGAATCCTTTTTTCTGAGCAGCAGGTCTCCACAGGGGCTCACACTGTGCAGGAAGCCGTGTGGCACGTTCAGACACAGGTAGAGCAGACGGAGCATCACTCTTACCGGCCTAGGATTTTCTAAATGGAAGTGAGCACTGGCTCCAGCTTAAAGTCACAGCTGCATGAGCTCCTAGCAGGAGCCGCCGGTCCTGTGAGGCCAGGCGCTGACCTCCCCTCACTGCGAACATCCCAGGTGGCGCCTCCTTCCCGGAGGAGGCCGTGTCCTCCACACTCCGAGGCTGTGGACGACCTGCTGAGTGGCCCCTCCACGGTCATCCGAGCGGCCCTTCTGCACAGCTTGCTGCAGCTCAGCACCTGCTGCTTCCCCTGGCACCTCCTTCAGCTCACGACCAGCCTCCCATCTCCACACGTTCCTCCCGCTGCCTCCTCACCTCTCAGCCTTCACGGAATGGAAGAGCAGGGCCTGGCCCTGGATTAGGCTTTGGCTGCAGGGAGCTGTGGCTGTGTGGCCTCAACCCAGAGCACGGACCCGTCTCCTCACCAGCAATAGGCTGTTCCCTCTCATCACGCGTGTTGGCTGGAGCAGCGCTTGAATTTCCTTCCAGAACCTCTTGGCCTTCACAGCAGGCTCACTGTTGGGCGCGAGAGGCCTCGCTTTCAGCTTCTCTTGGCGTTGGACAAGCCTCACCAAGCTGGTCGTTTCTGCTTTTGATTTAAAGTGAGGGGTGCAGCTCTTCCTTCACTGGGCCTCCTGGAGGCCATTGTGGGCTCTGAATGGGCCTGACTTCCGTCTTGTTGTGTCTCAGGAAATAGGGGGCCCAGGAGAGAGAGAGGTGGGCGGCCGGTCGGTGGAGCAGTGAGAGCACAGCATTTATCAGTTAGGTTCTTGGTCTCATACGGGGCAGTTTGTGGGCCCCAAACAATGACAGGAGTAAGGTTAAGGGTCACTGATCACAGAGAACCATGACCAGGTTTTGACGATGACAAGGTTTGTAATATTTCAGCAGCACTGAGCACAGGTGTTGGGGAAGTGGTGCCCGTGGGCTGGCGAGATGCAGGGCTGCACAAGCCTTCGTTGGTGGAATCGCAGTCTCTGCGAAGCGCAGTGAAGCGAGGTTGCCTATATTGCCAGAGATAATGAGGGGCATTTCAAAATGAACAAAGAGGCAGTTCATCAAGACATGAAATCCTAAATATGTATCCACATAATAAAATAAATTCTAAATACATGAAGCAAAAACTTACAAATCCAAAGGAGACATGAATACTTCCACAGTTATAGTTGAAGACTGCAATCCTCTCTCATTATTTGATGAAAGTAGTCACAAAAGCAGTTGTCAGCTGATTTTATCAGTTATCATTATATTATTACTGTCAACCAACTTGACTGACTCCCCCAGCAGCAGAGTGAACCCGGTTTTCCAGGGCACACGCCACATTCACTAGGATGGACCGTGGACTGTGTCATAGGCAAGGCATTGGGGAGGACACTGCAGCCTGCATGCAAGTCCAGCCCACTGCTTGCTCTTTGCAGCTTGCAGACTGAGAGTAGTTTGTTTTTAAGATTATTAATTGATTTTCAGAGAGAGAGGAAGGGAGAGGAAGAGAAAGAGAGAAACAGTGATCGATTGCAGCCTCTTGCACGTCCCCTGCCGGGGATCAAGCCTGCAACCAAGGCATGTGCCCTGACTGGGAATGGAACCAGCAACTTTTCAGTGCCTGGGACCACGCTCAACCAACTGAGCCACACTAGCCAGGGATGAGAGTAGTTTTTGTGTTTTTAAAGAATTGTTAGGAAGAAGGAAAAGAACATGCAAGAGAGATCCTATGGGACCTACAAAGCTGAAAATAACTCTTTCAGAAGAAGTTTGTTGAACTCCATGCGAGGCCATAAATCAAATACCAATACAGTTAAAGGAATGAAGTCACATAAGCCTGCTCTCTGAGTACAACAGAAATGAGATATCAGTAACTAAGAGCTATTTAGGAAGTCCCAAAATAATTTGAAAATTAAGCATTATATTTTAAAGTGTAAGTCAAAGAAAAAAATCACAAGGAACATTATAAATATAAAAATCTGTGGGATGCAGCTAAAGTAGTGCTTGAAAGAAACTTTGTAGCTTTAAATGCTTATAATAGAAAAAGGTCTAAAAAATCAATGATATGACCAGGCCAGTGTGGCTCAGTGGTTGAGTGTCAACCCATGAACCAAGAGGTCCCTGGTTCAATTCCTGGTCAGGGCACATGCCCAGGTTGTGGACTTGATCCCCAGTAGGGGGAGTGCAGGAGGCAGCTGATCATGATTTTCTCTCATCATTTCTCTCTCTCTCTCTCTCTCTCTCTCTCTCTCTCTCGCTCTCCCCCTTCCTCTCTGAAATCAATAACAAATATATATTTAAAAAATAAAAGAAATAAAAAAATATTTAAAAAAAATAAATCTGAGCTTCTATCTTAAGAAGCTAGACAAAGATGCCCTGGCTGGGTGGCTCAGTTCGTTGGAGCATCATCCCATGCACCAAAAAGTTGTGGGTTCGATTCCCGGTCAGGGCACATACCTAGGTTGCAGGTTTGATCCCTAATTGGGGTACATACGAGAGGCAACATATCAATGTTTTTCTCTTCCCCCTCTCCCTCCCTCTCAGGGCCCAGCAGAGTGTGAGGGACGTGTGGCAGGGGAGGGCTGGGCATAGTGGAGGAGCCCTCTGGATGGGAGTGTGCAGAGGGCACAAGCCTGCCCCTGCTGGGCCTGAGATTGACCAGCCAGGGAGGGGCCGTCTCTCCAGCCAGAAAGGTGTTCTAAGATGTCAAAGCGTCATCTACAGAAAACTGAGTACATACGATCCAGGGACATTCGGGGAGAGGTGTCCAGTGTTCACTCTGAGGAGCCGGATGCCTGGGTGGGGCTTGTGAATCATTAACTTTCTTGGGGTGCAGAGGCACGGAGACACCTCTCCTAGGGGGGCAGGGAGTGAAGGAGAGCACCCAGGGCGGGAAAGGAGCATGAGGAAGGTGGGTCAGCCAGCAGGGAACCGAGCGCTGCACGTGACGTCCCTGCTGACATGAGAGCCTGACCCGGAGGGGCGTGGGCAGAGCGGGTGTGGGGAAGAGCACCCTCTCCAGCGCAGGCCCTTATGGGGACGGACTCTGGGACCCTGTCGAGTTGCTGGGGGAAGTGACCCTCTGGTCTTTGCCTGCAGGTCTGTGGCCGTCACCATGTTCTGGAAGTTCGACTTGAACACCACGTCCCATGTCGACAAGCTGCTGGATAAGGAGGACGTGACGCTGCGGGAGTTAATGGACGAAGATGACATCTTGCAGGAGTGCAAGGCTCAGAACCGGAAGCTGCTGGACTTCCTGTGTCGGCCGCAGTGTATGGAGGAGCTGGTGAGCCTCATCACACAGGACCCGCCCCTGGACATGGACGAGAAGGTCCGCTTCAAGTATGTACTGGGCAGGGCCGCAGGGATGGCTTCCTGATGGACAAGTGAGGAGGCTGCTCCTGGGGGGTGACTTTGCATTCTGGGCTGTAGTCAGCCTACGGCGTGCTGGAGCCTGAGGGACAGTGTGCCGGAGGACAGACCCCGGCAGAGCTGCAGGTGGCTGCACCGCCATAGGGGGCGGGCCCCGCCTGGTAAATGGCCGCTCGGGACACGGTGGACTTTGCTTCACTCTGGGTCCTGGGCTCAGCGGAATATGTTATTAGTGACCATTCTCAGTTTTTCCTAAAATGCCCCATTCTACAGTTGACCAGGATGTCAGAAGGAAGGGGTGTGGCGAGGGTTTGGCATAAGGACTGAGGAGTTTGAGGACAGGGACCTTGCGTGACAGGAAGGGCAGAGCGGATGCAGCCTTCGGCTCTGAGGGTGCCCACTGGGGCCTGAGCAGCTCGTCAGGACAGACGGGCAGCTGGACAGTGAGTGGTGGGAGGTCTTAGAACAGGGTCAGCAAACCACGGCCTGCAGGTCACATCCTGTTTTTGTGTGACTTGCAAGCTAAGAATGGGTCTGTATTTTTAAATGGTTGTTGCACGTGAAAATGATACCAAATTCGCATCTCATTGTTCACAAAGAAAGTCCTGTTGGAGCACAAGCACATGTAACCCGTTTGTGGTTACAAGGGCAGACCCGGTGGCTCAGCAGAGACTGCCCAGACTGTCCCTGCCTGGACAGGACTGTGCTGGCCCAGCCGGTGGGGGGCAGGGAGTGCCTGTGCTGGGCGAGGCGGTCCTTGGTGAGGCAGAGCTGGTTCGTGGAGGAGCCGGGGCCTTGGCCCTAGGACCCTCTGAGGAAGGTCAGATAGAGACACTGTGCAGGGGATGCTCCTGCTCAGTGCGTGGGCTCAGCATCACCGTCATCACCATTCACAGCCCACCCCTTTACCCTCTCGCTCCCAATGTGTCCTGCTTGGTAACTGTTCTGTGGTCTCCCTGTCTGGAGGGTGTTGGTGACAGGTCTGAGGGAGGAGAGTGGGGCTTGGCAGAGGGGTCCTGGAGTAGCATCCTGGGCCAGGGGAGTTTTCTAGCCCGAGTCTGGGAGAAATTAGTGACAGATAGTACAAAGCCAAGCAGACAGGGCAAGGAGGAACTGTTCGCGCTAGGGCAGTGGTTCCCAACCTTTTTTTGGCCACACCCCACCTAAGCATCTCTAAAATCCTGCTGCCCCCCCCCCCCCCCCCGCCCTGTGACATATAATTCTTATTTAAAAAGTGAACTCCTATTCACGTGGAGGAAGCCTAAAAACCCATTAACTTGGTTTAAACAGCTTCCAAAGAACATGGTATCCATGAAAGAGAAAAATGAACGGAAGGACAGTTGAAGTTCTGAGGAGGAAATCACTAAGAAATTGTTAAAAAATAATATGAAGTGATATGAAAAAATAGCAAATAAAGTCTCAAAACGTAATAGGGAACTGAAATGCATAATATGTCACATGTATATTTATAGACTGTATTTGAGGCCCCTAGAACCATAAGAAATGCAAAACATTCACTGTTAATAACTCATTCTCAAATTGCCCCCCTTAAAAATCAAATTGCCCCCCTGGGGGCCGTGTGCCCCACGTGGGGAACCTCTGCTCTAGGGGAAGGAAACAAGCAGGCAGGCAGACACCCAGAGTGAGCAGGTGCCCAGCTGTAGACCCTACATGTTCCCGCCAAGGCAAGCCCTGGGGGTGGGGCTCTCACCCATTGTGCTCAGTACCCAGGGGCCCTTGCAGTCTGCAAATTCGTGGCCTTCGGCACAGGGAACTTCTTGTGTTATTTCTTCTATAACTTTCTCCCTCCCAGTTTTCCCTCTATTCTCTCTGGGATATCTAATTGGTGTTAGACCCCCCGAATTGATACTTCCTTCTTATTTTTTCTCTTAATGTCTTATCTTTGCCTTTGTTCTACACTTGAGAGTTTCTTCAAATTTTATCTTCCTCCCTTTTGTTGATTTTTAAGTTTTCTACTATCATTTTTAATTTCTCATATTATAAATACAAGCCTCTGGCCCTTTTAAAAAAATATTTTTATTGATTTCAGAGAGGAAGGGTAAGGGAGAGGGAGAGAGATAGAAACATCAATGATGAGAGAGAATCATGGATTGGCTGCCTCCTGCATGCCCCCCACTGGAGATCGAGCCTGCAACCCGGACATGTGCCTGGGACCCTTCAGTCCGCAGGCCGACGCTCTATCCACTGAGCCACACCGGGTAGGACAAGCCTCCAATTCTTGTTCACGGATGCTGCCTGAGTGTGTAGTTTTCTGGGCAGTTTCCTTCTGTTCTCCACACGCTCTCCCTGTTCTGCCCTGTTTCCTGGTGGTGGTTTGATCAGCACTGTGTTCCTTTGAAGAGGCACTACAGCCTGCACAGAGTGTGGGTCTGAGTGGGGCTGCTCACCCTGCCTTCCTGTGGGTGGCGGATGCCCACACCGGGGAGGACGACAGCTGGCTGGCATTTCTCTCCGTCCCATCAGTTTCTCCAGAAAAAATCCCTCCAGCTCCTACCTGTGGGTGTCAACCTGTCATGCCCTGAGTCAGGAAGAGGGGCTGGGGGACCCCAGTGTTTTTTGTACCAGGCCTTGTTTGTGGTACAAGCGGCCTTGAGTCCAGGAGCTGCTCTGGACCATGTTTTCCTGGGAAGAAACTCCGGGCCTGGGCGGCGGCAGCAGGGAGGGGCTGGAAGTGTCACTGCTCTGAGAGTTCCCTCCTCCCTGACCTGCGGGCTGGCTGCCACGCCTCTGTGACTAGCTGAGGCTCACATTTTATAAACTACTAATGCAGTTCTTTTCTTGAAGAATCATGTAAAATACTGATAAAGCCCAGCCGGGCGTCGATCAATGAACCAAGAGGTTACGATTCGATTCCTGGTCTGGGCACAAGCCTGGGTTGCGGGCTCGATCCCCAGTGTGGGGCTTGCAGGAGGCAGCCGATCTGTGATTCTCCTTATTGATGTTACTATCTCTCTCCCCCTCTCCCTTCCTCTCTGAAATCAATAAAAATATAATTAAAAATAAAAATAAAGTACTTATAAAAATCACAGTCCCTCCACCTCACCGTACCTGAGCAGGTGAGGGTATTGTAGCTCAGCCTGCCCCACGTGTGAGTGGTGGCCTGTGCCATGCCAGCACGACCAAGGGTGATCTCGAGTGGGGGGGGGGGGGTGAAAGGATTAAGGAAAGACAGACAAGAGAATGAAAGCTGGGTCTCGGTGGGATGCTGCTCCCTGATGAGGAGACAGCGCCCGCGCCCACAAGCTGTGTCTTTATTTTATAGCAGATGCCACGAGGCAAAGTAGGGGCGTGATCACGTTGTTTACAGCATTCTCGTGAGTTTCATCCTCACTTAACTACATGCACCCGAACTCTAGCACAAGGCACGTGGAGCTACGTGTTCGGACCATAGGTTCAAGCTTACAACCACAGCCGTTGGCTATAATTGTGCTGGGAGGGCCCTGCCCTCCAGCTGGGACTTGCACGTGTCAGTGAGAGGACCCTGTCCTTTCATTAGTCCGAGGCTTGAACCTGGCCAAAACACTGTAACCGTGCCCCACAGTGGCCTGTGTGTGCAGGGGGACTGGGGCCTTCCTGTTGGCTCTGGGAGAGCTTCCTGGAGGGAGATGTCTGCTTGCTGGGCCCAGTTCTGTCCTGCACTCGGTGCATCTTGTTTGGAGACCGGTGGACACCTCTCTGCCTGCATGACGTGGGGCTTTGCTCTGGCCCAGGGCTGCTGACCTGGCCTCCTGCTGGGCACTCGAGCACGCCCTCTGGCCTCTGCTCCTGGCGGCCGTGCGCTCTCCGCCATGCTGGTTATCACAGCTCATGCCTGCAGTGCTGAGCCACCTCCTCTGATCCTGGTCACAATCCCCAAGGTGGTCGCTGGCCACCCCTCCCTAGAACTGACCACACCTCTGTCTGAGCCCCCTCTCAAGCCGGGGCCTGCTTGCTAACTGCCCACGGCTGGGCTGCCTGCGGATCCGCAGGTCCCTCACGCCTGCTGCGCACCTGGCACTGTTTCTGGGTTGAGGAGAAGCTGTCTCTGGGCCGATGAGGAACATGGCTCCACAGCCAGATTGAGGTCTCCACCAGCTGTTTCCTCAAGAGCCTCAAACCCAGGACCCTCTCACTGATCCAGGGCCACCTGGACTGGGACCTGTGCTGGGGGGCTGTGCTGGGGGCTGTGCGGGGGGTGGGGGGAGGCTGTCCTGGGGCCTGTGCTGGGGCTGCCAGGAGCAGGGAGTCGCAGTGGCTGACTTGATGCTGCTTGGCTTTATGCACAGCCTTGTGGGGAGGTGGCCACTCACCTCGTGTGCAGATGAGGAAGCCCCGGCACAGAGGTCAGGCCATGTGTCCCACGTGGTGCCAGGTGTATGCCGCCAGCCCACAGGATGCTCCCCCTGAGTCCCTGCCTCCTCTGGGCCAGGCATCGTCACCTGCGTTCCCCAGCTAAGGCCCTGGGTCACAGGCTCAGTCCTGGATGAGCAGATGTTGGGTGGGTGTGCCTGGCCCAGGGGTCTCCCACAGGAAGGCAGGGCACTCAGTGATGTCATGGGATTACTCGGAATGAGGTGAGGATTATTTCGTATCTGGTCACTTTTATCAAATGCATAGGACATAGTTCATGTATATCGGTGGTATTCCTGGTGATATTGTGCTTTGCCTCCTCATAACCAGGACATCACTGTAAGCTTCAGTCCAGGGCAGACGGGACCGTGCTTGTGGATGCGCAGGGACAGGAAGGGCAGGGAGAGGGAGGGAGCTGTGATGGTGACAGGAGGTGAGAGAGCTGCAGGTGAGCTCGAGAGCAGAGCCTGGAGAGAGTGCAGGGCACGAGGTCCAGCAGGTGGTGGTTACAGATGTGGCCTTCCAGTAGTCCGACAGAAGTGCCGGTCATCTGAGGCCTAGTGCATTTTTGTTCTGGTCAGAGGTTTGTCAGTGTTTCCCTCTTGCCCGTGGATCTGCACCCTAAGGGCAGATTATTTAAGCTGTTTCCCGAGAGTTGGAGAAGTCTAATTTCACCTCCAGTTGCTGGCGTTGTGCCCTGTAGGTACCCGAACACGGCCTGTGAGCTGCTGACGTGCGATGTGCCGCAGATCAACGACAGGCTGGGTGGGGACGAGGCTCTGCTGAACCTCCTCTACGACTTCCTGGACCACGAGCCGCCTCTCAATCCTCTGCTCGCCAGTTTTTTCAGCAAGACCATTGGCAGTCTCATCGCAAGGAAGACGGAACAGGTAAAACGCCTGCCATGCCCGTGTGGTCGGGGTGGTTGGCCTGGAGGATGCCCACACAGCTCGCTGCCAGCCATCGCGGCGCGACCGTGTCAGCAGGCAGGGGAACAGTGTTCCTGGCTGTGTCGTGGGACTCGGGAGCAGTGTGGGCGGCTGATCTGTGAGTTGGAGTTTGACTAAGAAGGTGGCTTCCCAAGAAGTATTTCTGCTGCCGGCTCTAGAATCGCAGTGCTTCCACCACCCCCTGGGAACCACACAGGACGCCAGTCACAGGCGTGAGGCTCGGGAAATACTGCGTCCTGGCAGGATTGTGGCTGTCCATCTTTTTTTTTTTTTTTAAATTAAATCTTTATTGTTCAGATTATTACAGTTGTTCCTCTTTTTTCCCCCCATAGCTCCCCTCCACCCAGTTCCCACCCCACCTTCTGCCCTTACCCCTGCCATTGTCCTCATCCATAGGTGTATGATTTTTGTCCAGTATCTTTCCGAACCCCCCACACCCCTTCCCCCCTGAGAATTGTCAGTCCACTCCCTTTCTATGTCCCTGATTCTATTTATTCACCAGTTTATTCTGTTCATCAAATTATTTATCTTCTTAAAGGATACCTTTCAGCATTTCATATAATACTGGTTTGGTGGTGATGAACTCCTTTAGCCTTTTCTTATCTGTGAAGCTCTTTATCTGACTTTCAATTCTGAATGATAGCTTTGCTGGATAAAGTAATCTTGGTTGTAGGTTCTTGGTATTCATCACTTTGAATATTTCTTGCCACTCCCTTCTGGCCTGCAAAGTTTCTGTTGAGAAATCAGCTGACAGTCGTATGGGTATTCCCTTGTAGGTAACTCACTGTCTTTCTCTTGCTGCTTTTAGGATACTCTCTTTGTCTTTTGCTCTTGGCATTTTAATTATGATGTGTCTTGGTGTGGTCCTCTTTGGATTCCTTTTGTTTGGGGTTCTCTGAGCATCCTGGACTTGTAAGTCTATTTCTTTCACCAGGCAGGGGAAGTTTTCTGTCATTATTTCTTCAAATAGGTTTTCAATATCTTGCTCTCTCTCTTCTTCTGGCACCCCTATAATTCGGATGTTGGTACGCTTGAAGTTGTCCCAGAGGCTCCTTACACTATCTTCATATTTTTGGATTCTTTTTTCTTTTTGTTTTTCCAGTTGGGCATTTTTTGCTTCTTCGTATTTCAAATCTTTGACTTGATTCTTGGGATCCTCTTGTCTGCTGTTGGATCTCTGTATATTATTCTTTATTTCAGTCAGTGTATGCTTAATTTCTAGTTGGTCCTTTTTCATATCCTCGAGGGTCTCACTAAATTTATCGGCGGTTTCTAGAAAATTCTTGAAAAACCTTATAACCGTGGTTTTGAACTCTATACCCAGTCGTTTGCTTTCCTCCATTTCTGTCATTTGTGACCTGTTTCTTTGTCTCCGCATTTTGGCTGCTTCCCTGTGTTGATAGAGTGGTTTTGTGTGCTAGGTGTCCTATAGAGTCCAGTGGCTCAGCCTCCCCAATTACCTGAGGTGGACACTCTTGGTGCACCCCTTTGTGGGCTTTGTGCACAGTCTTGTTGTAGTTAAGCTTTGATCGTTGTAGGTATCACTGGGAGGAATTGACCTCCAGGCCAATTGGCTGTGAGAATCAGCTGTGGTTATGGTGGGAGAACTTCTGTGCTGGAGACACCCTTCTGGGGCAGGACTTGCTTCCGTGGGGCTTTGGTGCTCACTGAGTCTGCCCCCTGAGTGTGTCCCTTATGGATCTGAGGAGTTGTAATCTGGATGGTCCCACTCTGACCACTGGGTACACTGGCTCTTGGATCTAAGGAGGTGTTAATTTAGCCTCTGCCTGAGGCCACCCAGCAGGAGCTATGGAGAGATCTGCAGATTCCTCTTCTTTGTTTGGAGTTTGGAGGTGCCCTGATGAGGCCCAGCTGTGAAGCAATGCAAGCTGCTGTGGGGCCTTGGGCCTTCTTTTGGATGTTCTGGGTCTCTCTGACCCAGCTGCAGTTAGGTAATTTTCAGATTGCAAAGGGCCAGGGCATTCATGTGCAAAAGCCTCTGCTCACGGCTTGGGTGGGGCGGGGTCTCAGGGAATCAACAGGGCGGAGCAAACAGCTATGGCTGATCCTCAGTCCTGCCCTAAGAGGACCGGGGTCTCACTGTTCCGCGGTGATCGCTGCAAGCACCTCTGAGAGAAAGCCGTCCTCGAGTTCTGCCCGATGCCAGACAGTCCAGTTTCTCTCCCTATGAGTCTGGGTCCCCGGAGACTCGCCCAGAACTGGCGTTCAGAGCAGTCGGGAGCTTGACTCCCTCCCGATTGAAAAAGACAGCTGCCAGCCCTTTCCATGTGCGCCTCCGTACCTCTGCACTTTACTTCCACACCGCACCTCCTCTGAGTCTCAGTGTGCTTTTCTCTTTCCTTCTAGTTGTAGAATTTCCACTCGGCCAGCCTTCCTGTGGTTCTGGATGATGTCCGTTTTGTCTTTTCGTTGTATTTTTGAAGTGGTTGTGCGAGGCAGCAATTTCCGGTGTTTACCTATGCCGCCATCTTGGTTTCAGTCAGCTGTCCGTCTTTGAAGGCATGTTGCTCCATCTGTGTGGTGGTCAGTGACTATGTCTAGGGCACTTACTGTTTTAAAGCAAATTAAAAAATCTTCTGGTAATCAGCTTCTGTGAAATAGTGAGTGACTCCTTTTCACCCAGCTGAGCGTGTCTTCCTGGAGTCCGTGATGCTTGTCTCACATCCAGCAGACACCTGCTTCAGTGCCTCCCCTTCTGCAGACAGAGCAGACGAGAGCCTTGACCTGCGGCACAGCTGCAGAGCAGGCTTTCTCTCATCCCGGGCCCCGCCCAGCATCCCCGGGGCCTGTTTCAGAACAGTTCCCAGTTAGCATTTCATTCCTGTAAATACATCTCTAAAATGTAAGGACGTTTTGAATATAGCTTCAGGAGGGACAAGACTCTGCTGAGCAGATCCCACGATCACACCCCACAACTGCTAACCATGATTGCTTGGTGCCATCACGTACGAGGCAGGGAACAGACCCATATGCTGTGTCTGCCCGGAGCTCTGAGAGGAGCAGCCCCGGCAGAGCAGGTGGGCGGGAGGAGACCCTGTGGCATGTGGAGTCTTCAGTGGACTGTCCCCTTCCTGGGGTTGTAAATCGGAGATTTGCAGGGGACCTCAGGGGACTGTCTCACCTCAGTGCTTTTTGGAAACTGGCGGAGGATGAGTGAAGACGGGGTGCTGGTGCCGTGGTGCAGCAGTGAGTCTCTGTCCCAGGAGCAGCGGTGCTGCCGGTGGGGCTGGCGCTGGCACGGAGGGCAGGCCGGGGTTCACAGACGCCCTGCCCGCCTTCCGGCCCAGCGCCCGCACACATGTGTTCACCTTCCAGACACTGTCTGAATTTCCCTGCTGCTTATAACACTTCCGTCTTCTTCCCTTACCAGTAGTATGGACTGCAATCTTAAAAAATATTTTTTCTACTGACAAAGGCAACACATTTATATGAAATTCAAATAAGACAGAAATACAGAACAGTCTTATGTAACACTCCAGAGGTAACCACTGTTGATTTATAATTTAACATTTTTTCACATTATGTGCCCAGCACCCAAACTCAGATCATCTTCCATCACCTTTACACCCCTACCCCTTCCCTCTGATGACCACCATACTGTTGTCTGTGTTTATGAGTTTGCTCTACATCCCACATCATGAGAGAAGTCATATGGTTCTTAGCTTTTACTGACTGGTTTCGCTAGCACAATATTCTGAAGGTTCATTCATGTTGTTGCAAATGGTAGTATTTCATCTTTTCTTATGGCTGAGTAATACTCCATCGTATATGTGCCACAGCCTCTTTATCCAGTCCTCTATCCAGGGACACTTCTGTTTCCATGTCTTGGGCACTGTGAATAATGCTGTCATGAACATAGGGCTGCATATCTCTTTGTGAAGAAATGTTTTCAAGTTTTTCAGGTAGATACCCAGAAGAGGGATTGCTGGGTCATATGGTAACTCTATTCTTTTTTATTTTAGTTATTTTTTAAATCCTCACCTGAGGATATTTTTTCCATTGCTTTTCAGAGAGGGAGGGAGGGAAGGAGAGAGAGAGAAAAAAAACACATCAATGTGAGAGAGACACCACCTCCCGCACATGCCTTGACTTGGGGCTGGGGGCGAACCTGCAACCCAGGTATGTGTCCTTGACCGGGAATCAAGCCGACAATCCTTTGGTGTGAGGGCCGACACTCTAACCATTGAGCAATACCAGCCAGGGCGGTAACTTTATTCTTAATTTTTTTTAGGAACCTCCATAGTGGCTGCACCAATTTACATTCCACCCAAAAGAGTTTCATTTTCTTCACAACCTCTCCAACACTTGTTATTACTTGTCCTGTTGAGAAAAGCCATTCTAACAGGTGTATCTCATTGTAGGTTTCATTTGCATTTCCCTAATAGCTAGTGAAGTTGAGCATCTTTTCATATATTTGTTGGCTATTTGTATGTCTTCTTGGGAGAAGTGTGTGTTCAAGTCCTCTGCTCATTTTTTTAAAAATATATTTTATTGATTTTTTTACAGAGAGGAAGGAAGAGGGATAGAGAGTTAGAAACATCGATGAGAGAGAAACATCTATCAGCTGCCTCCTGCACACCCCCTACTGGGGATGTGCCTGCAACCAAGGTACATGCCCTTGACCGGAATCGAACCTGGGACCCTTCAGTCCGCAGGCCGACGCTCTATCCACTGAGCCAAACCGGTTAGGGCCCTCTGCTCATTTTTTAATTGGTTTGATCCCCAGTCGGGGTGCATACGGGAGGCAATTGAGCGATATTTCTCACATTGATGTTTCTCTCTCTCTCTCTCTCTCTCTCTCTCTCTCTCTCTCTCTCTCTCTCTCTCTTTCTCTCTCCCAATATCAATAAAAACATATCCAGGGGTGAGGATTAAAAAAAAAAAGTTCTATGCATTTTATTACCTGTATAGGGTTCCACCAGGGTCCTTGGTGTGGCCCTTTTAACTGCTCCCACCTTTCTCCTGCCCGTACCCCGTCACTCATCCCCAACCCCTGGCAACCAGTGATCAGTTTCTGTTTCTAAAATTGTGTTATTTCAAAATGTTCAGTTAAATCATATGATACATAGCCTTTGGGAATTAGCTTTTTTCCTTTTTCAGCATAATTCCCTGTAGCGTCCTCCAGGTTGTGTGTTTCACTAGTACAGCAGTGTGCTCCTTTTTCTTGCAGGGCAGTGTGCCATGGCATATGCACACCACAGTCTGTTTATCTCGGCAGTGATGTCCCCATATCATTCCCAATAATCTTTCTCTAGGAGCTTAATCGTTTCAAAGAGCCCTCCTCCCACTTCTTCCTCTCCTCTTTGTCCTGTGCCCCCCTCTCCCTCTTTCTCCTCTGTTCCTCCTCCTCCCCTTCCTCCAGCTCAGAGTGTGGCTGACCTCCCCCAGCGGGGGCTTCTTCTCTGAGTCCCATTGTTCCCAGTGGAGCCCTGGGTCTGCCCAGCACAGTGACCTGCAGACACACAGCCAAGAGGGACTCTGCCCAGACTGCTTCCTTCACCTGCTCGCTCACCTGCAGCCCCCTCTGAGCAGCCCACCCAGTGCTGGCTGCTGCGCCCCTCTCCCCCGGTGGTTTCATGCTTCATGCTTAGCTGTTCTCATCTTGTTTTTTTTTTTTTTGTTTTTGTTTTAAATATATTTTATTGATTTTTTACAGAGAGGAAGGGAGAGAGATAGAGAGTTAGAAACATCGATGAGAGAGAAACATCGATCAGCCGCCTCCTGCACATCTCCTACTGGGGATGTGCCCGCAACCCAGGTACATGCCCTTGACCGGAATCGAACCCGGGACCCTTGAGTCCGCAGGCCGACGCTCTATCCACTGAGCCAAACCGGTTTTGGCTGTTCTCATCTTGTTGACGTGGCCACCAGCCAGCGCACATCCCTGCCTCTTCCTTTCTGAAGCCTCGGTCCTGGCTCCCTTCCCCCACGCACGGGCCTGTGGTGACTGGCCGGCTCGTGTGCTCTGTGCTCTCCAGGTCGGCGTCCTGGCAGCTCTGTCCACGCTGCTCATTCTGTTGAAGAAACTTGAGCCAGCGGGTCCCGAGTGGCTGCTGTGCACAGGCTGCTGTGTGGTCTCACGCGGGCATTGGTGTCATGTTCCCATGGAGGCTCACCTGCAAGCAAACCTGTTGTCCTGCCCTCCGCCCCCCACCTGTAGGACGGACTTCCTGTGTTCAGGTCTCTGCTGTCCTTGCAGAGCCTTTCTCACAGCTTTTTAGGTCTTCCCATGTTTCTGCTCGGCATGATGGGAAAGTCACCTTCCTCATGAGTGATCTCCCTCCAGGGACATCTCATGGTGCGGGGCTGGCCCGCTGCTTACCAGGGTGTTTGGCTTCAGGTAATTGTGTTCCTGAAGAGGAAGGACACGTTCATCAGCCTGGTCCTGAAGCACATCGGCACCTCGGCCCTCATGGACCTGCTGCTTCGCCTGGTCAGCTGCGTGGAGCCTGCTGGGCTCCGGCAGGAAGTCCTGCGGGTGAGTGTGTGGGCCCCCTCTCTGGTGTGCCTGCAGATTCGCGATGGTGGTCACAGCCTGCACAGCAGGCTGGACCGAGGGAAGGGGCTCCGCACTGGCGTGCCGGGCACTCGCCGCTTCCCACGCCGCTCACTCGGTGCCTCCCTCTGGGGCCGTTGGGCTCTTGTCAGGGCTGGGCTGGACTCTGCACCTTTTCATTGTCCTTTCTCTATCCATCAGAAGCAAGAGCAGCACGTTCCTTCTCCCCCCACTCCGCTGCCTCTGCTTTCCTCACCGCCCCGCCCCGCCCCATGGTCAGGCAGGAGCTCCGGGCGGCTCTGTGCCCTGCAGACTTGAGGAAGGCAGAGCAGACGGACTCCATGCAGGGAAAGGGCAGAGACCACGGGGCCTGTTGCTTGTCCTACAGTGTGTGCCCGGTCTGTCCTGATGGTGCTTACGGCCGTAGCTCCCTGAGGGCTTTCCCAGAAAGGGGGGCGGGGAGGGCTTCTAACCCAGAGAGGCAGGAGGTCAGTGCTAGCAGCCTGTCCCTGGTGCTTGGTGGGGTTTGGTTGCCGTGCAGTTTAAAGTAGACTAAACCATTGGTCCTCCTTGCCCACTTCCCAGCCCCTGGAATCGGGTGGCAGTGCTCATCAAAGTGGCAGGGCTCAGTCCTAGGCTAATGGTCCGTCCCTCGGTGAGCCTCCCACTAAGACCAGTCACAGCCCACGCCCCCAGTGGGCGCAGCATCACATCTGCTCTTCAAGCTGGAGGGAAGGCTGCCCTGCCCTCACCATCTGGGTGAGGAGGTGTGGGGGGATCTGGGCGTGACCCAGGCTGCCCGGCCACCTTGCCCTTGAACCCCCGAGTGTCCAGCACGTCAGCCCTGGCGGGGCTCCTGCGGCCTCACCAGGCAGGGTCTTGGTGGTTCTGATCTTGGAAAGGCCCCGGCGCTGTAGGAGCAGAGTCCGAGCCCTGGCCGGGCGCGTCTTCCTGCACACCCAAGGGTCATGGGCTCCATTCCGGGTCAGGCTCCTACCCAAGTTGTGGGTTCGATCCTCCGTCGGGGCATGTACGGGAGGCAATCGATCGATGTTTCTCTCTCTCTCCGTTTCTTCCTTGCTCTCCTAAAAATAAAAATAAAGACATATCCTTGGATGAGGATAAAAAAAAAAAAGCAGCAGCTGCGCTGGGCCAGCACTGGGAGAGCTGGTGCTCAGGTGGGCTCCTCAGGCAGAGCTGGCGTGTGCTTGAGTCCACCCCGTTAGGACACAGACGGCGCTTCCTCCCCTATGAACGTCAGGTCCCTGCCTGTTCTCTCTGGGCCTGGGGGCACGTGTTGGGCAAAGAGCCTGTGCCCCGGAACCTGGTGGGCGGTGCCCTGTGCACGGAAGGGGTTTCCGTGTGGCTAGATGTGAGCAGAGCTATCACAGCCTCCTTTCCCTTCCAGTGGCTCAATGAAGAGAGGATCATCCAGAGACTCGTGGAATTGATCCACCCCAGGGAGGATGAAGATGTGAGTACACGTGCACGCCTCAGAGCCCACCTCGCCAGGAGCCCCTCACTGGGCCATTGGGCAGCGCCCGCTGCTGCGTCCGAGGGGCACGGCAGCCTTTCCTCCAGGAGGACCAGGGCACACACCTCGTCCTGTTGAGCACTGACTCAGAGATTTCTTTACTGACGAGTGATGCACACGTACTATACAGAGCAGCTCGCACAGAATTGTGTTAGTTTTCTGTGCTTGAGTAACAAATTGCCCCAAAACTTACTTGCTTATAACAACAAGTATTTTTTATCAGTTTCTGTGGGTCAGTGATGTGGACACAGCCTAGCAGGTCCTCTGCCCATGGTCACTCAGGGCTCAATTTGGGGAGGCGGGTTTGCTTCCAGGGTCACCAGTGCCTCGGTCACTGGACTGTCCGCAGGACTCAGGTCCTTGAGGGCGACTGGCCGGGCCAGCCTCAGCCCCCGGCCCTGGGGCCTCTCCACAGGGCAGCCCGCAGTGTGGCTCGGCTTCCCTCGGGGAGAGCAGGCGGGAGAGGCTCCTGCAGACTCTCCTCGGAGCGCGAGGCTCTGCTGTGCTCTGTTCCCTGCAGGGGAGTGACTGGTTCTGGCCGTGCTCTGGCCGGAAGGTCCCCTGCCAGGGAGAAGCATGGGGTGCCAGTGGGCTCCCTCCCTCCCCGTGGTGACCACTGGGAGCGGGCGGGGTGCTTCCTGAGAGGCCCTTTCTCCACGTGACGAGGCCCGCGTTTCCTCAGCAGCTCTGAGAGCCTCAGCTGCTTCCAGGCCACTCTGCTCTTGGTCCCTCATCCCCCCAAGGTGTCTGTGCCGATGCCCCATGAGCGTGAGCATGGGGGGCTGACGGGCCTATCCACGGGCCACAGGCAGGTGGGAGGCCACAGAGCCAACCTGGCTGCTTCTGTTTCTCCCTAAGATGGTGCAAGCCCGTCCTTTAGCCACTTGTCCTGATGCCTCGACAAGGGGCCAGGGCTGCATGTCTAACCGTGTCCACGGCCCCGAGGAAACCCCTGTGGTCCGCAAGGGCCCTGGGCAGCTCTATGTTTCCACGGGGTCCGATTCCCTCAAGCACCGCGTCCTTTGTTGTCTGTGTTTTCACAGGACCCCTTCTGAGTACCAGAAGCTCCTTTTAGTTTAAAATGCAGTGTCAGTGAGGTGGTCACCTACGCAGTGTAGCTCAACATGGGTCCGAGGGGCAGTCGTCCCTGCGAGCCAGTGGAGCATTGAGAGCCCTGGAACTTGACAGTCCCGTGCGCCCTGACAGTGGGAGCAGAGCAGACCCCTCGGGAATGGCCTGGTTTAGGGGCGTCCCAGCTCCCAGAAGACGAGCAGCAGGGCTCTGTCCGCTGGCCGGTGCTGACGCGTCCCCTGGCCCTGACGGAGCGCCCTGTCCCTGTCTTTGCAGAGGCAGTCCAACGCTTCCCAGACGCTCTGTGACATTGTCCGGCTGGGCAGGGAGCAGGGCAGCCAGCTGCCTGAGGCCCTGGAGCCGGACCCCCTCCTCGCAGTGCTGGAGTCGTGAGTGCTGCGGGCTAGTGGGGTGCTGGCGGGTGCCGGTGGGTGGGGTCTGAGTTGGGAGCGCGTCTCCAAGCTGGCCCTGTAAACCGCAGACAGCCCCTCCCTCTGGTCAGACTCTGAGCTGGCTGTGAAGTGCTCACTCGGACCCAGAGCTAATTTGAGGGGCTTGTTTCCCATGGGAGGTCTCCAGGCAGGTCCCCCGAGTGCAGGCCAGCAGGGGCGAACCCCCACAGGGAGGCAGGGGAGGGAGGCGTGCTCTGTCTGCTCTGCTCCAGGCAGTGACCGTGTGTGACAGGCAGGACTGCGTGGAGCAGCTTCTGAGGAACATGTTTGACGGGGACCAGACGGAGAGCTGCCTCGTCAGCGGGACGCAGGTGCTGCTGACCTTGCTGGAAGCCAGGCGGGCTGGGTGAGTGCCCCGTGGGGAGGGCATCGCCCGGCACTGGGCGCCACCCTTCATGGCAGGCGGCTGAGTATGGGCCGTCGCCTGGGAAAGTGCACTCAAGGCCTCAGGCGCCCTCCTCTCTGTAAGTCACCAAACCTCTTGGGATGAGGGGGTCCCCGTTGGGCAGGGGAGGGAGATGCCACGGAGGCCTGGGCTGTCCCCGTCTCCATCTGCTTCCTCATCCACAGGACAGAGGGCCTGGTGGACGCCTTTTCTCAGGGACTGGAGAGGCTGTGCCCCGTCAGTGGCAGCGTCCTGCACGGCATTGAGCCGAGGCTGAAGGACTTTCACCAGCTCCTGCTCCACCCGCCAAAGGTACCGGACCTCAGACAGCAAAGCGCTCCACGGTGTATGCGGACACGTGGACACACTCGTGCTGCTGTTCCCTGACCCGACTTGAGAACCAGGCCGATGCCATGGCCTGTGTCAGACCCCCTGCTGCATGTCCATCTGCACTGGGGCCTGGTGGGCGGCATTTGCAGCCCCCAGATGACTTGCATTCTGAGAGCCCACGCTCACCGTCTGCCTGGCCTCTGAGTCGGGGCACCAGCCAAGGGCCAGGGGTCCCAGAGGAGGCCCCGTGCTCAGCTCAGCAGCTCTAGGGGGTGCTGGGGTCACGCTGAGGAGGCTCGCTCTCTCACTGCCCCCCAGGCTGCCTCCCCCACCAGAAAGTAAGCTTCACAAAGGGAGAGATTCTGGAACATTCTGTTAACAAAAAGGTGGCTATGTGATGCTGCATGTGCGGGATCAGAGAAGACCCGCGTGTAGTCTAAGAGTTTCCAGGTGGCCCTGGGAGCGCTGGTCCTGCCTCGGCACAGATCTCTCACTCCAGGGTGCTCCCCCCTGTGGCTGGGTGAGCCTCTGGGTGCAGACCCTGCACTCACTCTGATGCCTCCTTCCCTCTTGCAGGCAGTGCTGCCTCGAGGAAGGCCCCCTCCCCGCCTCCCCAAGCTGTGCCACAGCGTGGACCCCAGCCGGGCCCTTGAGCAGTGGTCACGCTGGGCTGCCAGGGTCAGTGAGTGGTGCTCTGTGTTTACAGAAAGCCGCAATCCTGACCACCATCGGCGTGCTGGAGGAGCCCCTCGGGAACGCCCGCCTGCACGGCGCCCGCCTCATGGCTGCCCTGCTGCACACCAACACGCCCAGCATCAACCAGGAGCTGTGCCGGCTCAACACCATGGGCTTGCTGCTGGTGAGGGTCCACTGCCTCCCCCCTCCTCCACGCGGCCGTGGGCAGGCCAGGCAGGTGCCCAGGGCAGGCCCAGCGGGCAGGCATCTGGACCTCAGCCCTGGGGGTGGGCCTGTCCTCGGGAAGCTCTGGTTGGTCCTGAGACAGGCCCAGGCTGACCACAGCCTGAGTGAAGGTGGGACAGCCCGGCCGCCTCGGTGCAGCTCGCGGAGATTGCCCTGCAAGCAGAGGCAGGTGTCTGTCTGTCTGAGGGGGGGGCAATGAGGTCACGCCCTTCCAGACCTGCCTCATGGAGGACTTGGGTTTTAGCCCTTCAGCACAGAGCACCTTCGAGGAGCAGCTGCTCGCTCTCCACAGGGCACCCAGCACTTCCCGTCAGAGCCAGTGGAGGCGCCTCCACTCAGTGCCTGGAGGACGCCTGGGTGTCTGAGGAGAGGGCCCGCCAGGCAGAAGGGGGTGCTGAGGGGAGGGGCATGGCTCTGAGGGGGCACCACAGGCAGATGCAGTCCCCAGGCTTCTCTGGGGCCTTGCCCTTGGGCCTCTGCTCCCAGAAGGAGCCAGCCTTGGAGCTGGGCCTGGAGTACTGGCCTCTACAGGTTCTTCCAGATTTGGAAACCCCAGTGGGTTATGAAGAACTTGTCTTTTCCTTTCTCCACTGTCTATTTGCAGAACGTTTTTATCTTCAAACAGAAACACTGACCATTAGGCAGTCAATCCCCATGCCTCCCACACCCCCTCTTCCCCCACCCTCCTTTTTGCCTCTGAGTTTGGCTGCTGTGGGGCCTCATGTACGTGGCATCACACCGTGTTTGGCCTTTTGTGTGTTGCTTGTTTCACTGAGCACATTGTCTTCAAGGTTCATTCATCCCTGTGGTGGCAGGTGTCAGAATGTCCTTCTTTATGGCTGAATCACCTTCCATTGTAGAGGAAGACACACTTTGTCCATTCCTTAGTTGATGGATGTATGGGTTGCTTTCCCCTTTGGCTGTTTTATTTATTTTTATTGACTTTAGAGAAAGGAAGGGAGAGGAAGAGAAAGTTAGAAACATCAATCATGAGAGAGAATCATCATTGATTGGCTGCCTCCTGCACGGCCCCTACTGGGGATCAAGTCCGCAGCCCAGGCATGTGCCCGTGACCAGAATCTAACCCAGGACTCTTCAGTTCCCAGGCCGACGCTCTAGCCACTGAGCCACACCAGCTGGGGCCCCTTTGGCTGTTTTGAATGCTGCTGCTATAAACATGGAGGTGCAGATTCCTGTTTGAGTCCAGCTTTCCCTTCTGGTGAACATGTGCCCAGAAGTGGGGTTGATGGGTCACATAGTCGTTCTGTGGCCAGCGTTCCGAGGAAGCAGCGGTTTTCCACAGTGGCTGCGCCGCTTCCCTTCCTGCGAGCAGTGTAGGAGGGTTCTCGCGTCCACATCCTCGCCAAACGTGTTTTCGTTTTTCTGTAAAGATGGCCGTCGTCATGGTTTGAGGTGGTCGCGTGGTGGTTTGATCTGCATTTCCCTAATGGTTGGGGATGCCAGCACCTTTTCGTGTGGTTTGTTCGCCGTGTGTGTATTTCCTTTGAACAGCTGTCCAAGTCCTTTGCTCATTGTTGAGTCAGGTGGACCTGTGGGTCACGAACAATGAAAATACATCCTGCATATCAGATATTTACATGACGATTCATAACAGCAGCAAAATTGCAGTTATGAAGCAGCAACGAAAATCATTCTATGGTTGGGGGTCACCACAATATGAGGAACTGTATTAAAGGGTCGCGGCAAGGTTGAGAACCACTGGTTTATAGTGTCCTTTGACACACACAAGTTTTTAATTTTAATGAAGTTCAATTTCTCTGTTGGTGTCATATCCAAGAAATCATCGCCAAATCCACTGTCATGCAACTGACCCCTTTGTTTTTTTTTCTATAATTTTAGCTCTGTCAGGTCTTCGATCCATTTTGAATTAGTTTGTAAATGTAGCACATGGTGAGGGTTCCACTTCATTCCACTGCCTGTGGGTGTCCACTTCCCAGCACCATGTGTGGAAAAGACTGTCCTTTCCCCATTGGCTGGTTTGGCATCCTGCTGGGACTCAGTGGGCCATGTACGTGAGAGTTTATTTCTTGACTCTCAACTCTCTTGCCTTGGTCTCCATGTCTGTCCTCACGCCAGGACTACACGCTGCTGATTACTATCGTTCTTTAGTAAGTTTTGAAATGAAGTGTGAGTCCAACTTTTTTGGGGGGTCAAGATTTTCCTTTGGGGATCCCTTGTGATTCCCTATGAATCTTAGGATGGGTTTTTCTATTTCTACAAAAAAAAAAAAGCCATTGAGTAGAATCTTGAAGAGACTGTAGTGAGTCTGTGGGTCACTTGGTGGTGGCGTCCGCTTCACAGACCCGTCTTCCCGCCTGAGCCTGGTGCTTCTCGGGGACTCGGGGCGCCTTTGCTCCCCTCGCCGGCCGGTGCTGCAGTTTCAGCGTGCACGGCTCTCACCTGCTGGGTTCATTCATTCCTAAGTGTTTTCTGTTTTTTGGATACTAATGTAAATGGAGTTATTTTCTTAAAAACTTTTTTGGATTGTTAGTGTATAGAAATGCAGCTGGTTTTTGTGTGTTTTGTATTTGGAACTTGTTTATTAGGTCTAACAGTTTCTGTGAAATGTGTAGAGTTTTCTTCATATTAGATCATGTCATCTGTGAAAAGAGATAATTCAGCTTCTTCCTTTCCAACTTGGACACTTTTCCTCTCTCTCTCTTCCCTCATTGCTCCGCTAGGACTTCGTACGGTGCTGAGCAGAAGTGGCGGAAGCAGGCTGCAGGCCCTGTCCTGACTGTAGAGGAGAAGCCTGCAGCCTGTCGCCAGTTAGCATGTGTTTGCTGTGGGCTTGTCCTGGGGCCCTTTGTCGTGTTGAGCAGGTTTCCTTCTGTTCCTAGAGTATTCAGTGTTTTTATTTTTAAGAATTGTTGAGCTTGGTCAATTGCTTTTTCAGCATCAGCTGAGATGATTATATGGTTTTCATCCTTTGGGCAGTAGACACTGACCATCGTGATTGATTGATTTACATATTGAATCATCCTGGCATCCAGGAATAAAACCCACACTGTCACGGTGTGTAATCTGTTTAATGTGCTGCTGAAGTTTGCTGATATATTTTTTTTAAATATATTTTATTGATTTTTTAGAGAGGAAGGGAGAGAGATAGAGTTAGAAACATCGATGAGAGAGAAACATCGACCAACTGCCTCCTGCACATCTCCTACTGGGGATGTGCCCGAAACCCAGGTACATGCCCTTGACCGGAATCGAACCTGGGACCTTTCAGTCCGCAGGCTGACGCTCTATCCACTGAGCCAAACCGGTTTCGGCAGTTTGCTGATATTTTGTTGAGGATTTTTGTGCACATCCTGCCCCGCTGCACCCTCCCTCCCTCTGTGTAGGCAGCAGAGTCTAGGACAGCCGTGGGCAAACTACGGCCCGCAGGCCGGATCCGGCCCATTTGAAATGAATAAAACTAAAAAAAAAAAAAGACCGTACCCTTTTATGTAATGATGTTTACTTTGAATTTATATTAGTTCACACAAACACTCCATCCATGCTTTTGTTTCGGCCCTCCAGTTTAAGAACCCATTGTGGCCCTCGAGTCAAAAAGTTTGCCCAACCCTGGTCTAGGACGTAGGCTGCTGTGGCCTCTGCTCTGTGTGAGGTGCCAGGGGGGTGCAGACAGGTGAACCTCGCCGCCTCGCTGTGGCCTCCTCACCTGTAAGGGTCCGAGATTCAGGGGCAGCGGTGCTTGTTCCCCGCCCCGCCCCGCCTGGAAGAGGCCAGGCTTCAGCTGGTGAAGCTCCGGCTGGGCCCCTCCGGGTTCCTGTGGGCGTGTCCGTACCTGCACCTCCTCACGTGACTTCCCTTCTGGGTGTTTGCGAACTTAACACACTTCCACTGGCTCACGGGTCAAGACACAATCATAAAGGAAGAATAGGAATCCTACATAATAGAATGTGTAGAATGTAGCTAACAGGGATCTTACTAGGAAATACACAGCCTTTTAAAAACACACTGATAGAGAGGCTACAGATGAGTTAAGCTTCTGATTGGAGACAGAAAGAATGGCCATCGGGCATGTTCAGATGAGAGCAGAGCTCAGGCTCTGCAGAGGTTTCTCACAGGGAGGCTCCCAGGCGCTGCCTCGCGCCTGCCGCCTGCCGCCTGCCGCCTTCCACGGCCTCTCCCTGCCTGTCCCCAGGACCTGTTTTTCAAGTACACCTGGAATAACTTCCTGCACCTCCAAGTGGAACTGTGCGTGGCCGCGATTCTCTCCCAGGCCCCCCGGGAGGACAGGGCTGAAGCCAGTGGACCCGAGAGCGGGGACTCGGAGAGCCCGCGGCCTGCTGCCAGCCACCCCGAGAGCACCATGGTGACCCATGTGAGTCCCGCCAGGCGCTGGTGGCGCTGCGTGCTGAGCCCGGCCACACGGCTGAGGCCCCTCCCCCCGCGTTTTCTTTTCTGATCCTCACGTGACCTGGGTGAGCTGCCCTCCTTTTGACCACGAGAGAGGAAATCACAAAGGGCATGAGAAAGCATTCCGGGATTTGGGGTCCTTTGAGTCCACATGCATGAATCCTGGACGAGACGCATCTCTCTCCTTTCCTACTCACCCGGGAGCGCTTCGCACGATGCTCACCTCCGGGCCACCTGCTTGCTTGCCTGCTAAGCCCACTCGGTTCACAGAGGGTGGAGGGGAGCACGCAGCCCCTCGGACCTGACCGATCAGCCTGTCCCCCCAGCTATTCCAGAAGTGCTGCCTGGTCCAGAGGATCCTGGAGGCCTGGGAGGCCAATGACCACACACAGTAAGAACCCCCGGGGCTCCGTGGGAGGTGTGGTTTCCAGAAGGGGCTTCTGCTGCTGGGCTGCCAGGGAGGCCGGGGCCTGAGCTGACACGAGCCAGGCAGTCACCGGGCCGGGCTGGGCTCCTTCCCCTCAGGCTCCTCACCGGCCTGGCTGCTCTGGGGCCTCCTTCACCCTTTACTCCCCCCTCCCCCGCCGCCCGTCCTGTGCCCACAGTGTGTCCCAAATCCCCCATTTCTCCATCCCAGCATCAGTCACTTCTACCATTGAGCCCTTGAACCCTGAAGAGAGTGTCCAGGCCACTTCCTGCTTCCTCCCTGCCCCACGCGGCCTCTGTGTGAGCAGCTGGGCTCTTTCTGAAACAGATGGTGTCACTTCTGCCTGAAACTCCTGGCCACCCGGGTCCCAGAATGGCCCGCAGGGCCCAGCGTGGCAGCCCTCCCACTGCCTTGCCCTCTGCCCTGCCTGCTGCTCCTGGGGATACCTCCCTCCCCGGGTCTATCCCTCATCTCCTGCTCTTACTGAACCCGAATGTCAGTGCAGACACGGCTGGCGGCTTCCCCGGTCAGTGCACATGGTGCCTGGGAGGCCCTCCCCACACCTGTGCTTGCAGATTGCGTATTTGTGTGCACGTGTGCGGGTCTGAGAGCTCCCACGGCTCTCACCGGGGGTCTGAGGTGCCCAGCAGGCTTCCACCTGTCCCAGCTTCCCCAGGGGCCAGTGCCCTCCCTGGGCTTGCCTCTGCCCGGCTCCCCAGCTCAGGTGCTCACTCGCTCACCCCGCTTCCTCCTCTGGGTTCATCAGGCTCTTCGGAGAGACAATGTGGTTGGCAGCAGGCTCTGTCCACTACCGTCAAGGGCTGTGTTGTAGACGTGTGGCCGTCTCACAGGGAGGCTACTGAGCGTCAGGGATGCCAGGATAGGACGTGCTCTGCTTTGGGCCGTGGGTGTGGAGAACTTCACGGCAGCGTGGGAGGCAAAGGTGGACAGAGCCAGGGCGAGCACTCCCGCACCTTGAGCTCAGTGAGGGGAGCGACCCGCCGATCCAGGGCCACAACAGGCGCTCGGGCCCTGCGTCGTCCTTGTCTCCTTGGAGCGGGCCACGTCTCCTGCTGCTGGACTGGGCATTTCCCTGGGCAGTAGGCCCTGGGCCGTGCTGGGAGGGCCTGGGCACCGGGACAGCTGGTGTCTGCGTGCAGGGGAGGGGCGCAGCCAGACGGGTCGCAGGGCTGCAGGGGCTGAGCAGGCCCTGCTGGTATGTGGGGAGTGCAGGCTTTGAGCCCGTTCTCTGGTCTGCACAGGGTGGGAGCAGCACCTCCCCACGCAGGCGAGGCCATGAGGAGGGACTCGGGGGCAGTGGGCAAGGCCCAGGCCTGGCAGCTGCCTTCATGCTGCCCTTCGCTTCCAGGGCAGCAGGTGGCATGAGGCGCGGGAACATGGGCCACCTCACCCGGATCGCCAACGCGGTGGTGCGGAACCTGGAGAGGGGTGCCATGCAGACGCCCGTCGGCGAGGTTATCCAAGGTGAGCCCTGGCCCCGGTCTGGCTGCCGTGCCTCATGGGGTCTTCCCTCGGCTGGGTGTGGGCCCCGGCGCCCGTTCTGTTGGGCAGACGTCTGCTCACGCTCAGGGCACGCCACGCAGTCCAGCTGTTCTCTGAGCCAGGCAGCCCCTCCCCGCCAGGCCTCACCTCTGCCCTCGGCCTGCCCCCTGGGCTGCTTCCTGCATCGAGATGCAGGGCCACCCCCTGGCAGCTTGTGCTCTTACCCTTCCATCTCGTCCTGGCACAGTCTGCAGCTCCAGCTGAGCCGGGAAGGGCCCATGTGGCCTCACTGGGGAGGAGGGTGCCAGGCAGACTGAGCAGGGTTTGCCCAGGATACAAGAGGCAGACAGGTGGGTGGACTGGGGGATGGCCAGGGGGGCGCGGTGCAGGTGCTGTGAGCCCAGCGCGGGCACGGGGTGCACTGGCGTTCAGTTGAGTTGTGCTGCTGGGGAAGCAGCCTGTCGATGGTCGTCAGTCAGGCCGCAGGCGTGGCCTCGCCGGTGTGTCTCCACGTGGCAGCCTGTGGCCGCAGGGCAGGTGTGAGCCCAGGAAGGGGTGTTCTCAGTCAGTGGCCTCAGTCTGGGGTCAGGCCTCCTGGTCCATCGGTCTCACGATGAGGGTGGGGGCCCAGGTGGGGAGGCGACGGGCAAGTGGGAAGCTCTTGGCTGTCATCTTCCCTCACCGTTTCCGGGGCGTGAATCGGAGGCTCCGACTTCGCCAGAAAAATGGGTGGGGCATGCGGGTTGTGCAGAGGCCGGGCCGTCGGCCGCTTTGTTACAGAAGCCGATGCTGGCGTGTCCGTGTCAGGGCCCCTTGGGGTCCCTTGTGCACCAAGTAAACTTGGGCTCTGACACCCGCCGAGTCGGGCCCTGTGCCCGCACAGGCCGCCTGGGACCCTGCAGTGGCTCTCGGGACCAGGCAGCACTTCCCTTGCAGGGCTGCCTGCGGATTGCCGTGGGCGCTGGGAGAGCTTCGTGGAGGAGACGCTGACGGAGACCAACCGCAGGAACGCCGTGGACCTGGTGAGGAGTCTCGTCTGCTTGTGCGTGCGCCTGCGGCCGAGCGTGTGCTGCAGCCTCTGCTCCGTGTCCAGACACAGACCCTCTGGCCACAGGCCTGGGCCATCCACGTGCGGACCTGAGGCCCCGAGCAGAGCTGCTGTGGCCGCTTGGTCCCCTCCCTGTCGTGTCAGGAGGCCCAGTGTGGTCTCCGAGGCCTGTGCCCAGACCCAGTGTGGGCTGCAGGTGGGGAGCAGGCTGGGCACCAGCCCCGGGCGCCAGCTCACTCCTGCCAACTCATGCCCACCCTCTGCCGTTGCAGGTAAGCACCCACCTCCACCCCTCGAGCGAGGATGAGGACATGGAGGGCGTGTTCCCTAACGAGCTGTCCCTTCAGCAGGTGCGTGTGGCCAGGCCCTTCCCCGCAGTCCTAGCGGCACTGAGGCCTCTAGGGGTCCCGCGGCATCTCACCAAACTGCCGAGGGAGATGGCGAGGGGAGCGGTGTTCCTTGCGCCTGGCCCTGCCCCTCCCCCTGTGATGAGGGGAACCTCCCCGCCAAGCCATTTACATGGATGGGGCCCTTGGGGACACAGCGGGTGAATTACAAGTTCAATAGGCTGTTTGGGTGTGACCCTGAGCGGGAGTCTGAGGCTGTGCCCGTCCCCCAGGCCTTTTCCGAGTACCAGGTCCAGCAGATGACGGCCACCTTCGTGGACCAGTTTGGCTTCAATGACGAGGAGTTTGCAGACCAGGACGACAGCGTCAAGTGAGCCCAGAATGTGCCTGGCTGCCTCCCTCGCACACCACAGCGCCGATTTGTGCCGTCACCCCTCCCCCACCCCCACCCTGTCTCTTTGGGAAGGGTGGAGGTGGGCTCTGCTAGACCTGCCCCATTCCTCAGCTGAGCCAGGTGTGAGCTGTGTGGGAGGGGCCGGGCAGAGAGGGCCCTCGCAGCCTCCAGGCTCCCCCAGGGAGGGCAGGTCATTCCTCCCCAGTCCCCAGGCTGCCCCTCAGAGCCGGGGAGAAAGCAAATGAGCCCAGGGCATGGGCCCCACCCGGGTGACCCACAGCCCTGGACTGGCCGCGGAGCCGGCCTTGTGCTCTCAGCCCCACTGCTCTGGGCTAGACTCCCTCGGCCTCCAGCCAGCCCCTGGCGCGCCCACCACGCTGCGGCCTGTGAGGGGCTCACCCAGATGCCACCCACTGAGCGGCTGTTCTTCTTTCAGCGCTCCCTTCGACAGGATCGCAGAGATCAACTTCCACATCGACGCCGACGAGGACAGCGTGAGTCTCCACTCAGTGTTTGTTGGAGGTGGACGGACACGGCGGTGGGTGGGCAGCGGGGGCCAGGCCTCGGGAGCTGTGTGAACACGTGGCTCCCACAGCCCAGCGCGGCTCTGTTTGAGGCCTGCTGTGGGGACCACATCCAGCCCTTTGACGACGACGAGGACGATGACATCTGGGAGGACAAGGAGGCCCACTGTGCTGCCCGGGGCCTGGGCAGAGCCAGGTGTGTGCCCGCCCGCCCTGCCTCAGCTTCCCCGAGGGACACACAGGCCCCTGGACGGGTGTGTACCCCAGCCCTGCCCGGTCGTGACATCCCTCTGAGCTGACTGTGCTCCCCCCCAGGTTTGGGGGCCCTCCCGCCACAGAGAGCTGCCCAGAGAACGGCCTGGCGCGTGGAGACCGGGATGGGGAGGAAGCCAATGGAGATGTGGCTCCGGCAGGGGCTCCTCAAGTCGCAGCCCAAAAGGGCAGTCCTCATGTGGAAGGTGGCTCAGAAGGTAGGTGCTTGGGGTGCAGCGTTCAGGCTGGGTAGGGGCACAGGTGACAGAGGACTGGGTGCCCTGGCGGGTGCTCCTAGGGGTCTGCCACCTGCTGACCTGTCTGCGCTCTGGAGTGCGTGGTCCTGAGGGCTCCCCATGCCCCAGCGACCAGGGCCAGGCTGAGCTCGGTCCTGACGGCCCTCGGCCACACGCCCAGCAGCCCGGTCGGGGGGCTGCCACTGCTATGTGTCTGTCTGCATCTGGGCTGAGGGCTCAGGGCCACTCACTCGTCTCCTCTGGCAGGTGCCACGTGGACGGTGTTTGATGAGCCAGCGAGCCCGACCGCTGCCACCCCGGGAGTGGCGATGGACGTGGGCTCCAGTGTGTGGGCAGCCAGGGCCCCCAGCACCACGGCTCTGGAGGAGAAAGGCTGGGCCAAGTTCCCCGACTTCCAGCCCTTCTGCTGGTGAGGAGGCAGGGCAGGCGGCGGCCATGCCCGTGTCGGGCAGCGTCTCCCTGCACGGCCTCAGCCTTGGCTTTGTTCACAGCTCCGAGTTGGGGCCCAGGTGCAGCTCCCCGGTGGACGTAGGACCCGGCGATGCCCAGGGCGGCCTGAGCCAGGGCCCAGAGAGAACCCGTGAGTCGGAGCAGCTCTGATGGCAGGGCAGCGGGCAGAGTGGCCCAGGCCCAGGAGGGACGGAAGGCCTTTGAGCCGCCCTTGGAGGGAGGGGCTGCCCCTGCATTTGTCTGTGCCACTGGGACCCCTGGCAGCCTCCTCGTGCCTCGCACGCCCTGGGCCGCCTCGGTGGCAGCTGGGGGGCCTGTCCAGAGGCTGGGAAGCCCCAGGGTGTCGAGGGCCACGCAGGGAGGGGAGCTCTTTCGCTGGCAGACACACCCCTTGTCAGGCAGTGTGCAGACAGGTTCTGTCCCAAGTCTGAGCTGAAGCTTTTGCATGCCCGCCTGAGTTTGGGGGCTCCCCTGCCCTCACCAGTGTCCCCCGGCCCCTGTCTTGCAGTTGGCTCCGCCTCCCCGTGCGCCTGGAATGTGTGTGTCTCCAGGGACGCCCCTCTGGTGGCCTCCGGCAGTGATGAGGACGAGCAGGTGGCTGTCACCTCAGAGGCTGTCAGTATGGGTCCCGGCCAGGAGGCCCCCCCACTGCCCACGCCGGTCCCCAGGTGTGCAGGATTGGGGGGTGGGGTGCGATTGTCCACAGCTCGCCACTTGCCCAGGAGAAGATGGACCCTGTGACCCCCCAGAGGTGGGCTCTGTGGAGAGGGATGCACAGGGGTGAGCAGAGGACCTGAATGTCCCACCCCAGGGACCTGGGAATGGGGCCACCCCACCCATAGGCCCACCTTGGAGAGAATGGCCAGGCCCTGCTGAGCCACTCCCCAGGCTCTGGGGTGGCCCTGGGTGGTGGGAATGGGGTTCAGCTTTTATCCTGTCTGCTATGTGCCAAGTCCCAGCCATGTGCCCACCTAAACCAGGCACCTTGGGAAGAAATGCCTGTTGCGCTCAGACAGTGGGGGGATGTTAGGGCTTTGCAGCTGAACTCTGATGGGGGGTGACCTCCGTGCAAGCTGAGCCCCCACATGTCCCACCCCTACACTCAGGGAGAAAGTCCAGGCTGGGCTGGGGGTTGGGGGAGGGGGAGGGCAGCACAAGGAGCTGTTTTGGAAACGAGGGAGGGAGTGGTGGGCAGCGTGAGGTGCAGTCACAGCAGGTGGTGCTGAGTGAGATGGCGCCTTCCCGGCCTTCCCTTGTTCCCCCCACAGGCGGGCAGACTGGCACCTGGCCAGGTCCCACCCACCCCGGTTCCCACCTGAGGTGGAGCTCTGGGCATCCCATTGGTGGGGGTCCCGCTCTGGCTCACAACAGGAAGTGGGGCAGGGCTATGATGAACAGAAAAGCATGGCCAGGCAACGGGGCAAGCCTGGGGCTCCTGAGGGGTTTAGTTCCTTCTTAAAGCAGCATTACAGTTCTTAAACTGCCCCCGACCTCTTCCCTCCTAAACAGCTGTCCTCTGACCAGCGGGTTATGTCCTTTCAAAAGCAAGCCGTCGGTCTGCCTGCCTGCCCTGGCCGATGTGGGCTTGCGCCTTCCCGGTCGAGTTGTCTGCAGGCTCGTGTGGTCTATTCCACACGCTGCCAACCGCACCTGGCGCAGCCCCACAAGCCCTCCTGCCTGCTCTGCAGGCTCCCAGGGGTCCTTGTGAGGGTGGTGTTGACATGACAGTGGAAGCAAGTGCTGGGCAGGTGTGGGCCCCGCTGGGCAAACCTCCTGGGCTGCAGGAGGGGCCAGGCTGTCCCTAGGCCGTCATGCCCTGGCC